CAAGAACTATGTAGCTAGTATGACAATCATTCTATGGTCGTGTATGTAAAAATGTATAAAAAAGATGATGTCTTTTTTAGAAGACCAGCATGCTGTGTGGTCCTGTTATGAACTATTTGGAGGACAATTCCAGCTTCCCAATGCACCCAAAATCGAGCGTTTTGGACTGGAATTGAAAAAGTTATGAGTATTTTCAGAAATCAAAAGTTTCTCTAAACACTAATGAGCCAAATTTCAGTGCTTGTTACAGGTTGTAATTGGATGATTGTGAAGGTTGATTGTTAGTACACTTATCAATATGGATTGTAAAAATACGGAAAAACATGCGGAGTGAAGTTCTCAACGCAGGGAACAAGATGCATATTTTTATTCATTTTTTGCTCTCCTCCTGGCCTCTCAATATTTTTGTGTATCAATAATTTAATTTTCTGCCCAGAAAATATTATCTTTCTTGTAGTGTTTGGCTCCAGCCCAACCACCTACAGAACGAGTAATAACTCCGTCTATCGTTACGAAAGAACCAAGACCATCACCTGCGTTCACAGCTCAACATACTAATAGCACGCAACCGATTCGTAAGTATATATCTGCATTTACAAACTCAACTGTTGGATTCCAAATAGCTAATATGGCACCCTCCACTAGATCCAGTTCAAGAGCCTCAAGCGTTTCAGACGCCCCTAGTACCGCTCAGCCAGCTACTAACACCACCGAAGAAGCCCCAAAGCAATACAGGGCCTCCACGAAACGAGCCAACTCAACCTTCTCGGCTCTTACCCATGCCAGGCTTGATTCGAGAAAAACACCCTCAGGAAGTTCAGGAGCTTCTGTGCCTCCACGAAGCGACCTACCCTCTGTGGATGGAAGCCCAGAAGAACCGCAACTCGGAGGATTTCATGAAACTGACCAAGCAAGCGAAAGAAACGCATCACAAACTTCTCAGGAAGATAAGTTACTCGGATCTATTGGCTTGGACTCAAGGATGGAATCCGTCGGAGTGGGACTGGGTGACCTTTGAGAAGAAGGAACGCAAGATGAAACCAACTCCGTACGATCGTCCCAAAAAGTCTCGTCGACCAGCGATGTCGAGAGCCGACGAGATCTCTCAGATTATAGACTCGGCGGGGAGAGCCTTGAGGAGATAGATCGCACTATACTTCCACTCGACAGAGAAATGCTGACCCCTTTATTGCACAACTTACATACGCTCGTTAAACCCATTGTACATAGCCAAGATAAAATTTCTTCTGCTATAAACAAACTTAAGTCACTCGTTAAAAAAGATGATGTAGCCCCTAAAAGTTGACCTCATGGAGAAAGTCATGTCTAAAATGATCTTTAATGTCAATGAACAAATCAC